AAGCTGAGGAGGTAGAGCTTCCATGCCCAAGGGGCAGAAGAATGGGGCCTGCCTGGGCCAAGGGGATGGGGTTGCCACTCAGATGGATTAGGAGAATGGGGCCACCTAAAGCTGAAGGAGCAGAGTTGCCATCCCAGAGGGCCTGGGAGGCGGAGCTGAAGCCCAGGCTCAGGGGCTTTCACCCAGAATCCAGAGGGCGTGGCCAGCGTCCAGAGTCTAGAGGGGGTGGACAGTGCCCAGAGTCTAGAGGGCGGGGCCATTGCCCAGATGGTCTCAGAGAACAAAGGATTATTTTCAAGCCTTGAGAGCTACTGTAAATTGTTCTGCTGAGTTTGGTACTTGCTTGGTGCCTGTTATCCCTTCTTTCCCTCCAGTTTCTCCCATTTGTAATGGAAATGTCTACCTTGTGAGATATAAAAGAGTTTAAATAAGCAAGCAAAAGAGAGATGGGGGAAGAGAGATGCCAAGCCATGTGAAGATCACCCAGGATCAAAAGCTGAAAGAGACAAGGACCTTCCCCCAGAGCCAACTGAAAGAATGCCTTCCCCGGTGCCTGCACCCTGGATTCGAACTTCTAACCTCCTAAACTGTGAGAAAATAAATTTCTGTTTGTTAAAGCCATCCATTTATGGTATTTCTGTTATAGTAGCACTAGATAACTAAGACAGCGTATCATCGTTGTTGTTAGCTGCTGTAGAGGCTGTGACTCATGGCGACGCCATGCACAGTGGAATGAAATGCTGCTCGGTTCTGCGCTGTCCCCACGATCAGTTGGGGATCAGATCATTGTGATCCATGGTTTTCATTGGCTGATTTTCCCAAGTTTATTGCCAGGCGTTTCTTCTTAGTTTGTCTTAGCCTGGAAGCTCTGCTGAAACCTGTTCTGCATCATAGCAACAGGCAAACCTCCGCTACCAGATAGGTGGTGGCTGCAGATAAGGTGCATTGGCCAGGAATGGAACCTGGGTCTCCCACATGGAAGATGATAGTTTTACTACTGAACCACCACTGTCCTCACTGTTTGGTCATTCGGCCCTGACTAATATCCATACACAATTACAGTCTACCCTCCTCGTTCATGGATTTCATATTCCCAGACTCTCTTATTCGCTGAAAGCAATAGCAGTGCTTTCACGGTTATTTGCCAGCATGCACATATGCAGAACAGTGAAAAATTCTAGCCCAGGTCGGATAAGGCTAGTTCAGTATTGGCTAATTTGCTGTTCGCGAGGACTTGATAACTAGTGCGAATAATGAGAATCAACTGCAAGTTTAATTTGCAAGTGTATCCCGTGGTGGGCTATGTGGAGATTTCTGATCTCAATCTAATGGCTTCTTTATCTGATGATCACTTTGTGCCAGAGTGTTGTGTGTTAAATTACTCCTTCCCCCACTGCCTTCCCTATTTCCATTCTTAAAAAGTAGTAAGAAGTTGTGCGTATTTGCTCTAGGACAGTTATCGTCATTATTTACAGACTTTTGATATATTGTAACTCCTAACTAGGTCCCTCAAACCATTAGTTTGAGAAGCTGTTGTCAACCAGTATAATTTATTAATTTTCTGATACATAGTGGGTATTAGCTGAAACATAAAGATACCGAAGGCTAAATCAGGTCTGAATAATTTGAGATTTCATAAATTATTGATTTTCGGAAATATATTGTCAGGCCTTTCCTCTTAGTCTGTCTTAGTCTGGAAGCTCCACTAAACCTATTCTGCATCATAGCAACAGGCAAACCTCCACTACCAGACAAGTGGTGGCTGCACAATTAGGTGCACTGGCCAGGAATTTTTGTTTCAAAAATCCAAATATTAATCAAGTTGTATACCACTCTTTGTTTTGTTTTTTTGTTTGTTTTTTCATAACACATCTCTGTTTATTTGCTTTCTTTCAAAAGAGAAAGACAATTACAAAATACTAGTAGAAAATAAAATGAGGCAGATAAAGTGTTAATATGGTCAAAACATTCAGTGAAAAACAGTATCTTTAATTTTCTGTGGTGTGTAGTTAATAAGCAAGAATAGAAACCAAAATTATAAAAGCCATATGCCATAAAAATAAAACACTGATATATGTGACTATTACTGATGTACACTAATAATTTGTATATTTTCTGTAAATATGTTCTACCTCAATAAAAAGGTAAAACAAATAAACAAACAAAAAAAAACCTGAAGACTTTGTGAGCTTAGTAATATAGATGAATAGTTTTATTGATATGATTTATAAAAGAAGACAGTGGTGATGGAAGGAGTTAAAAAGAGAGAAAGGAAGGAAGGAAGGCCAGGAAGGAAGGAGAAAAGAGAGGAAAGAAGGATGAAAGGAAAGAGATAAAAGAGGGAAGGAAATGATAAAATAGGGAAGAAAGAAAACTACATGCAAAAGGAAAAAAATACATTATGATCTTTGCTATGGCTTTGCTTCAAAGTGGTAGTTGTAAGTTTGTGTTAAAATGAAGTATATTAATATTACACACAATTGAAAATCTTTATGCTTCCCTAGGAAGCATATCTTCCTTGTTTTTTTTTTTT